TGGCGGACGCTGGGGAGTCTCCCCGAGCCCCCGGGCTCCTGGGCTGGGGAAGGGGAGTAAGCTGCGACCCTCGGCCTGTCCTGGCTGTCCCTTGGGCGGAGTCAGGAGGGGGCCCTGTCCGGAGGGGCCAGGAGGCGGTCCGGCAGCCTGGAACCTGCGCCAGGACGTGCCCGGGACGTGCCCGGCTCTGTGGTCAGCGGAGATGCGGGTAAAAATAGCATCAGTTCTGAAGCGGAGAGGCCCCCTGGCACCGGCCAAGAAACGATCAGCTGTTGCTTGGGTGTCCATTTGCGGCCGCTTCTGGTTTCTGCCATCCTGAGATTTAGCCAACCAGGTTTCCCTTTCCACTTTGGAGCTTGGATATTGAGTAGTCCGCGTTATAAAACTGTCTTCTGTCCAGTTAAAGTCATCATTTAAGAATGTTTTGTCAAGGATTTCCTGATCTGCATTGCAAACTTGCAACTTAGAATAGTTTTAAACATTGGCCTCTCCCAAACAAGCTGGACATACATATATTATATACTTACATGTATTTGCACGCACGTATGAATAGCAGTGGTTACTAGGGTGATTTATAATAATAAAAATAATTTTTTATTTTACGACTCTCCTTTAATTGTTACCCTTTTTAAATATAAGATACCAACATTCTGTTTCCAGAAAATCTTTCTTTAGAGATCTGTTAGATCAATATCACTATCAGAGTGTTTCTAAGGGACCTAACAGACAACATGAAATCAGCCTTCAAGCAGCTTGAAGTCAAACTGACAAATAGATGAACAATTCGCTAAAAGACAGTAGGCAAGATATAAGTAATAACATACAAAATGAAACAGAAATGAATGAATGACAGGTGACAAATCTTGGAATTGCTCCTTTCTTTCTTCATTCATCAGATTACTCTTTTTCATCTACATCACCTATTGCTTTTCTCACGTTTCTTTCTACCCTTACACAAAATGGGACTATGTGATCATTCCTCAAGCCCCACTTCAGAGTTATGTTTTATATCTCAAGCCCTGAACTTCAATGATTTTTCCACAGGCCTCTCAAAAATGTTCAAAAGTAGATTGCATCATGTTCACTTTTAAAAGAGCTACTGTCATCCATTCATCTGGTTACCCAGCCAGAAACTTTGGAGCAGGGCCAGCCTAGGAGAGAGAGCTCAACAGGGACCCATACTTGGTTCTAGTATCTCCTGTCCCAGGTTTGACACTTGTACAAAGAGTTTTGTTTATTCTGGACTCTACAAATTATGTAGCTAGTCCCAGTTGGGAGTCATCCTGGGTCCCTCTATGTCACACTTATATCCAATCAATCTCCAGTTCCTGTCTGTTCTACCTCGAAAGCTCTCTGATCTTCTCTTTCATGTCCAATGTCAAGTTTAGGTTAGCCTTCATTTGGATTATTAGGGAAACCTGATAATCTCTGTGCTCATCAATTCCAGTCATCCCTTTTGTGATTTGATGTGCTGTACTGCAAGTCTAACATCACTAACTTCTCTTAAATCTTCAGTCATGCCCCATCACCTTGAGAATAATGTCAAGAATAATGCCCATTATTCTTGATATGGACCTGGTAGTTGACATGGACTTTACAAAGTACTTTTCTCCATTCATTCATTTACTGATCCCTAACCACATCTTTCACCTCACCCCCTACCCCATCTTCTTCACCATCCAGCTAAAGTTACTGAAAGAAGTTTGCCCAGAGATAACTTGTACTTGAAGTTTCTATGCCATTACCTCTGACTGGAATGTGCTTCTCTGTCCTTTCACCTGACTACAGTCCTTCAAAATTCAACTGGAACTTCAGCTTTTCTTAGAAACCATCATAGATGCTCCTGCTCCCTGTGTGGAATTGTATTCCCCTCCTGTACCTCTTCTGGATTGTATATTTTACTCTATGTGTCACTTGCCATGTTGAGCTGCAGTTGCCAGTGACCTTGTCTATCTACCCCACCCTCCACCCCTGCCCTGAACTCCAAGAGAGTTCATTGAGGTGAGATCTTAAGGTGCTCATCTAGGTAGTCTGGAGCATCTAACACATAGTAACTCTTCAATTAATGTTAAATGCATCAACTAGAACATTATAATGTTCATGAATTGTCAAAGAAGAGCAAAGAATGCATCCGGTAGAAATAGATTTTGCCCTGTCTCTAATGTGGTCTGTGTTCAGAACTCAGGCCGAAACTTTTAAGTTGTACATCTATCAGCATTGTCTTAAGTCCATATTGCGTCTGTGCAAATGAGAAGAAAGCTCACCTCCCTAAGGCATTTTACTGCCTTCAGACAAAAAAACTGCACAGTTTATTTTTCACAATAAACTGATGTGGTTTCATAGTTTTAATTCATCTCAAGGCTGAGCACTCTCACATCTGTCTCTCTGGTCATGACCCCCCTAACTTCTGGTCCCCAATTTCCAGTTCCGTCATGTGAATGGTTATTTGTCATTCAGATTGACGCCAGCATCAGTAGAATCTCCTCTCTCCTTTGTTCCCTATATTGAACTGGACATTTTTTAACCTGACTACAAGTTCATCAACTCTTCTGAACCCATCCTTTGCCATCCCACTTAGTTTAGGCTCTCATTTCCTCCCACTTCCACGACCACCTCTTCTCAACAGTCTGGTAGGTATTTCTTGTTTTATCTTTCCTGCAAACACCGATACATTCAGTACCCTGAAACAGGTCACTCCTATCTAGGTAACTCCATTGAATTCTAACTGAACAGACACAGAGATCAATAGAGACCAGCGTCTGAGTCCTGCAGGTTTCCTACGGCCCGGGGTACTTTTCCAACTTCACTCTCCCTGCTTCGCCAGATCTGACCCTCCTCCCGGCCTTAACTGGCCAGTCCACTCGGCACACTCCTTCCCATTGAGCGCCTCAGCTTGCATTGTCTACACCGCTGATTTTGACACCTGAACTTTTTTATATTAACTATGTCAGTCTTTCGAAATTTTTATCATATGAGAAAATATACGTAGGGAAATAAGTCATTAATAAAAACAAGATTACCCACAGTGAGATGTGTGTGTCAACTCTTTCCCCAAGGGGAATGTATGCTGCCGTGAATATAGAAACAATGAAAATAGTAAAATGAAAAAAGAGTAAAAATTTATCACCAGATGGTCATGCTGAAGTTTCCCTCTACCACACCTCTAAGCACAGTAATGCCCTTACTGAGTGCTTGAAATGCAGCATGACTTGGAGTTTATTAGTGGAAAAAGTATCACTGGCCAATTCAACTTTCTTTATGAATTTGTGGCTAACACATCGAAAGAGGATAAAACTGCTCCATCCTGCTGTATTTTGTTGTTAACAGAGTTCCAACGGGCCTGTAAAGAAGTCTATGCGAGAAAAGGCTGTGGAGAGGAGGAATGTTAATAAAGAGCATAATAGTAACTTCAAAGCGGGATATATTCCCATTGATGAAGATCGTCTCCATAAAACAGGACTGAGAGGGAGAAAGGGCAATTTAGCCATCTGTGTGATTATCCTCTTATTTATTCTGGCTGTCATCAATTTAATTGTGAGTATCTAATACAGAATATTCTCTTCTTAATTATCCTGGGGAGTTTTTTTCATCTATTTTTTTAGTGAAATCGTGGACTTTGTTTCTATAATTACTTCCGGAACTCTCACTCTGCTTTTCTACACTAAAAACCTCATGCTGATATTGTCAAATGTTCATTTTATTTCGAAAAAAAGTTCATGGATCTTTTTCTTCAAAAGACAATTTTTGTGTGGGTGAAAACAACTCAGTAACTTTTGTCAAGGTGATTTTTTTGCCTTCATCCTTCCTAAAAAAGTAATCAGTTCGTCCTCACCTTTTCCAAAGATACTTGCATTTTTAAAGATGACTTTAGAGCTAACATTATACCTGAGGATTGAAGCTGAAACTCCCCGGCACTTGTGTGGCTAGACGCCCTCAGAGGGACTGCTGGCTGGCGAGTGTGAGGCAGATCAGGAATAGGGACTGCAGCCTGATAGCTAAAAAACAGCAAGTGTGCATATCATTTAGGAGCGCAGAGATAAATTCTAGGTGAAATAGCTAGAATTGTTGAAAGTGGCAGGCCCTAGGGACTGAGAAGGGTTGAGGGTAAAAGAAATGAGACTTTTTTTATTATAGATCTTTCAGCACCCTTGGCTTTCAGCTGTTTGCATGTAAACCTTGAGAAAGACAGTGTTGGTTTTGTTTATAAATGCAATGCTACTTATTTGTTATATTCAGCTTACTGGTGGTGCTCTTTAGGAAATTTAATCCTTTGGCATTATTTTCAGTGTCCATCCAGTTACAGGAAGTATATGTCACCGGTTAGCACTGCACTCATTTTCTTTTTCAGATAACGCTTGTCATCTGGGCTGTGATTCGCATTGGCCCAAATGGTTGCGACAGCATGGAGTTTCACGAAAGTGGTCTGCTTCGATTTAAGCAAGTATCTGACATGGGAATCATACATCCTCTCTATAAGAGCACAGTAGGTGGGAGACGAAATGAAAATCTGGTCATCACTGGCAACAACCAGCCTGTGAGTAACCACATCCACTGAGGGATGTTAGGAAAAAATCCTTATAAAATCTAGAATTGGTTGTTCGAAATAGCTGTTGACCTTTAGAGAAAATTCATAAATATTTTCACTAATACTATTGGTCTTGCACAGTATCAATATTAAGTCTTTTCTTAGTATTCTAGATTTCATTCTCTGGTAGAACTGCTGTGATAAGAATACAATCACTTACTTTTTCTCATACTGAGAAACCATTTAAAAACTCCTTTCCAGGTTACAATACCCACCACTCTCTCAGAATGTAGAAGAGAATACGTCAGTCTTATTAGTTGTACCCATGCCAGTGGCTGCCATGATGAGTTGGCAACAGAATAAGACCTGCAGAGGGTATTGTCACTCCCGGCTGCTGGAGTTAGGCATTGAGCCCTGGGCCCTGTGGCCAGGCCCTGTGCCTGTGTGGAGGGATAGAAGTGTAAACATACAAGCACTCATTTTAAAACTCTCCTCTCAAGTGAGTGGGGTGGGGAAACAGATGCAGTTAAAAGTCTTTTCTTTTTTGTGTGAATTTTGCCTGCAGTATTCTTTGGAAACTTATTCATAATCAAGTGTTTTTCTGAAGATTGTTTTTCAGCAAGGAACAACAAAGCTCAGTGTAGAAAAGAACAAAACTTCTATTACAAGTGACATTGGAATGCAGTTTTTTGACCCAAGGACTCAAAATATCTTGTTCAGCACAGACTATGAAACTCATGAGTTTCATTTGCCAAATAGAGTGAAAAGTTTGAATGTTCAGAAAGCATCTACTGAAAGGGTATGATTTATTTTCTCTGTCTTATTAATGGAACAGAATTATGTTTAAAGTTGTAAATTATATATATAAAGTTACGATGTCTAAAGTTACAAAGGTTGTAACAACTATATAATAGAATGAAAACACTTGCCACTCACAGTTTATGATGGCAGCTCCTATTTCTTAATCTCTGCTAATAATTTGCACTTCAATTTAGAAACTTTTTTCACTACTTTGTAAAAATATTTTCAGATTACCAGCAATGCTACTAGTGACCTAAATATAAAAGTTGATGGGCGTGCTATCGTGCGTGGAAATGAAGGCGTATTCATTATGGGCAAAACCATTGAATTTCACATGGGCGGTAATATGGAGTTAAAGGCAGTAAGTACTTTTAAGACTTTTTAAAGAATTATGATATTCCTTGAGTACATAATGCAGATGCATTTATGGAATAGTATACAATTATTTGAAATACTAATGTAGTTGTGTATCTTTTGGCTTAGCAAGATGTTTAAAATGGATTGTGAAGTGCAAGGAAGTTATAAAACAATTTGTGAGAGATCTCTTATTCCTCAGAACATACATATTTTTTATTTGTTTTAGCTTCCCTTGAGAAATTATATGGCATTTATTAGAAATGACTTTTGATGCTCTTTTTGGGTGTCTTTTAATTTCAGTGTTTAAGTCAGACTGAATTTCCTGTCTCTTCAACCTACTTGGTGGTCAGTCAGTGTGAATCCATGGAATGCAGATACATTTTCATGTTAGCTTCGCTCTGGCCAAAAACTTCTTTAGTTTTGGGGGGTTCTCCCTCCAGTGAGGTACAGTTGGCTGATGACATTATATTAGTTTTAGTTTCAGGTATGCAACATGATAACTGGATATATGTATACACTGAGAAACGATCATCACGATCTGGCAACATACAGAGTTAGAATTTTTTTCTTGTGATAAGAACTTTGAAGATTTACTCCACTAGCAACTTTACAAAGTACAATGTCAATTATAGCCACTGGGCTGTAGTTCCGTGTGGAAGATTGTATGTTTTATCCCCTGCTCACCATTTTGGTCAAAGCATATTTCTTCAGAATGGCTTTGCGCCCCTCTGTATGCTACTTAACTAAAGCCAACAAAATTTGTCTTACTAAGCGTTAAGTGACAAAAGTGAACAGAAGCCTACTAAGGAACTATAACTCTTCCCCTTTTTAAAAAAATTAATCTTGCAAGTACTTGCTTTACTTTCATTAACAGCTTCACCCCCAAAACACATACTCTACTCTCTAAACAATAAACATGAATAGAAAATGTGATTCTTTCCAAATGTGATTCTTTAAGTTTGCAGTGCTGACTTTTGTACATACACTGCAGTAAGAAGCCAGTTCTTTAAATGAATAGTGCTGAAGAATCATCACACTGGGCTGTTTCTGCACTATAAATAAGTTCAAAGAGGCAAAAGATGTGACAGATTTGTATATAGCCACTAGTAATTTACCATCTTTTATTTATTCCACCTGAAAATTCTACCTACTGTTAATATAACAAATATTAAAATACTTTGAAAGATACTTATTCACATACATTTCTCCACAGTTAAAGAAGCCTGTGTTGAAAAGGTAATTCACTTTTTAATGAAGTTAATACCAGTTTTAAAATGTATAAGGTAACCATTAGAATATTTTCAATTAAATGGCTTTTAAGGGGCCTTCCTGTTGGTGCGGGGTTAAAGTCTCAACACTATCAAGCTATCCACAGGCACTGCTGCTCCAGTTCACTCCCCAGCCAATGAGGTCACCCCACCATGGCACAGCAGAGAGCTCCTGTCAGCCAGCTGCTCCCCTCAGCAGTGTATTTCTGCCAGTCAACCTGTTCTGCTCCCCACTCTGTCTCTGGCAAATCCTCTCACCTCCTGCACCTCTGGCTTGCACCCCAGTGTGCATAAATTAATAAATCTTAAAAAAAAAAAAAAAAAAGGCTTTTAAGAAATGACGTTAGCATTTTAAAGAAAATAAAATTAAATGACCACAAGATGGCAGCAGTGGAACAAAATTGAAAATTCATGTACTGATTCCATTTATTTCATAGTTAGCCATTTCCATTACTTCATAACTTTCCCCAATTGCTTTAAATTCCCACTGTAAGCCAGTATCTCTCACGTTTGGAACTCTTCATTGGCCTCTCCTCTGAACTAGGATTTGCATCCAACTGTTCTTCTTAACCCTCCCCACTTCAGCAGGTTAGGCACCTCAAGCTCAACAAGTTAAAAAATAATAGCAATCCTCCCTCCTTTCACAAAGCACACATTTCGTTCAGTGCTCAGACCTGTGGCTACCTGATGCTCATCAGTCCGCGGTCAGAGCTTTCGGATTCTCCCTTTAGAAGACGCACACGGTCAGCTGCTCGCGCCAGTCCACCACCACAGCTTCGGGCCTGCACCTAGGAGCAGTCTCCCGAAGTGTCTGCTGCTCTCAGCCCTCACCCCTGTGGGCCGCTGTGCTGTCTCCGCAACAGCCAGAGCGAGCCTTTTTAAAGTTCATGTCACTCCTGTCAGAACCTCAAAGTAGCTTCCCACAGAGCTCTGAATAAAATCCAGCCTACTTCTTGCCTTTTTTTTTTCTTCCACTCCTGCCCTACATGTCATTCCGTGACTCTCAACTTCCGCCACACCGGCCTCTGCTCTGACCTTTCTGGAACACCAGGGCATCTTCCTCTTCGGCTTTTGTATGTGTCATTTCTCTGCCTAGAGTGTCCTCCCGGTTGGCCATCTGGCTCACCCTGACACGTCATCCAGTTTCCTGTGGACTCTGGCCTCACCAGGGAGGCCAGAGTCCACAGTAGAACCTGGTAAAGTAGAACCTGATTACAGTGACTTTCTCTACTCTCTTTTTTCTCGGTGCATGTATCCCATCTGAGGCCCTATTGTTTTCCTATTCTTGTGTTTGCCTGCCCGTTAATGTCAGTGCTGTGAGAACTGGAACTTTACCTGTGTGTTTGCTGCCCCACACCTAGAATGGTATCTAACACATAGCAGATATTTCACCATCGTGTGCTGAAAAAGGGGGTTTTAAGGTCCTACAGTACAAAATTACTGACAATGAACCTGAAGCAAAGAACCTCCAGGCACTTCGATTTGAATGCCTACCCTTCTCAGTTACATGTTGACTTCATTTGTAGTGTTGCAAAAGATTGGAAATTAAAATTCATTCCCTCTAGGAGAAAAAGTCTCCCTACCCCTCCACACCGTTATCAGAAACTTATTAGTAGCTTTGTTAAACCCTCTTAAGAGCGAATTTGAAATGAAAATGATCTGAGACTCCCTCACATCAATGTTATTATGCACCTTGGACTTTTAATATTAATTTTAACTGAGAACTGAAATGTGTTACAAGGGCATTGATACACATAATGAATCATTATCAGGAGGTCACTAGTTGAATCTTGACCTTGGTTTTTACATTTTGTTGCTGCTGCTCTGGTCAACACCTGACTCTTCCTGTCTCCTTTTCTAGCTAGTATTCCAGTAACTTTTGTTTGTTAAATTTGTTCGGTTGCCCCTGGGGGTAAGTCATCTGTGCCATGGTTCCCTAACAGGAGAGCAGCATCATCCTCAACGGAACGGTGGTGGTCAGCACGACTCGCCTGCCCACTTCCTCCAGCGGAGACCAGTTTGGCAGCGAGGGCAACTGGGTGCGCTACAAGCTGTGTATGTGTGCCGATGGGACTCTCTTCAAAGTTCAAGTCACGGGCCAGAACATGGGCTGCCAAATTTCAGACAACCCCTGTGGAAACACTTACTAAACGAGCCCGAGGGTCACCAGCATACTCATATCTAACTTGGCTTTGTTTCTGAAGAGTGCCGCACAGCATGTTTTTACAGAGTTCGTTACAACTCATCATTATTTGATCTGCAGAGCATTATCATATAGTCTCCATATTTAAAAACTCTCAAGAGAGCCCAAATTCTGACAGATTTCTTTCATTCTGATATATATATATATATATATATATATATATATATATATATATTCAGTTGTGCTGAACTTCAAATTAAAGTTCTCTAAAATAATTATCAAAAACGAGTAAAACCAAAATGAATCTCTTTAAAGTGTTTCTAAAACACTGTTCCTTGTCCAAGGATAAAGGGCTGAAGCAATTATTTAGACTCTGAAAGCTTCTCGTAACTGAAGGGGAGAGTGCCACGTAAAGTGACTGTCAACAGATGAGACGACGCGCTCCGTCTTTTTTTCTTCTGAGAGACAGATTTTATTACATTGCCTTTCAGCCATATTCTTCATATTCTTGCAAATGAAGTCATTAAAGAAAATCACATGTGAAAGAAGAAAAAACTATTATTCCTTAGTTTGCACAAAGAAGAAAATAATGCAACATTTACTTGAAATAATGATAAATAGTAAGTGTTCATAACGTGGCAGAAATTGAAACAATCTCAGCTGTAACTTTTAGTGATCACAGCTGTCATTTATGGAGAATCTTACACACCCTAGGCGTTGTGTAGAGTTGCATGTCTAATGTCTTTTACTCTCACCACAACTTTGTGAGTGGACATTATTATCCCAGCTTACTCATGAGGATCGGAGAATTTAAGAGGGTTATCTAATGTCTCCTAGGACATCCAGAGTGGGGGTTGGGGCTCTGTGTGTCAAACCTAGATGTATCTGCTCAGAATATCACATTCTTGTCATTATCTGAACTGAAGTTGTAATTTTTTTAAACTCTAGATCCATGAACAAACACGAATTTAAATTTCTCTAAGCAGAGAAGTCGCAAATAATAAATACTTAGTTAAAAAAAATCTCGTATCTCAAAAATGACCTGTCACTGTCAAATTTTATGCTACGTTATGCTCATTCCAAAATATAAAGAGATCAGATTGCCCTGTGGATTACTCCTACTTTCCCAGCCAGTTGGATGGGCACTACGGGTGTCTGGGAAGTGACACTGGCCAGGGAGCGTACATGGCCCCCCACAAGTGCAGATGGCCCCGGGAATGACCTAGGGCATTCATCCCAGTGGCCACACAGGTTTACTCCTTGGCAGGTGTCTCATGCCTTGGGAAGAACCGGTAGCAGTGGACTAAAGCATGCGCATGCAGGGAATGATACAGGTAATTCTTAAGGAAGAGAATTGATCTTGGCTCCCAGCATCACCATCATCCCAGTGTAATGATTTATAATTTTCATGCGAGATGATTTTTAATGTATTTGTTCTTTGACTTGAGTTCTGGCACTTGCAGACACGAAAGATCAAGAACAGGGATCTCAAAGTGTCCGTTGTAAAGCACAGCAGAGCTGAATCACAAGCCCCACACTGCATCCTCAGGACAGTATTCTACGGAGTCACTTCGAACAGTGTGGATAAGCAAATCAATACGATAACAATTTGCACTCGCAAATCAATATGATAACAATTTGCACTCTATATTGTTACAGTTTTCTCTGAGAGAAAACGACCCTCAAAGCTGAGAGACTGCAAATACTCTTCAAGTATGCTACCATAGCGATTGACTTACTACCTTATACTGAGAGTTTTTACATAAAAAGAGAGGTGGATTTATGACCTTGTGAGTTTTGTTACTTGTAGTGATATTTAGCACCCGTTTGAATATATTCAGGATCATTTAATGGAATTTTCATTCCATTAATTAGCATATTTTTTTCATTTTACATCACTTGTCTATTCAGATTTTGAGAGTTTAAATATTTTTACAAAAGTCACAGGATACTTTGCAAAGTATTATTTATTGAATGGAATCCATGAAATAATCTATTTTTACTTCTCTGACACATACTTGTTGTGGTACATCTCCGTTAAGTGCGTTAGACATGAGATGTTTGTATAAAGCTCTTGTTAAATGAACAGGAAAAGCTCCTGCTTTTCCACTCAAAGGTAGACCTGGGAAATTCACTGGAAAGGAGAACAAGAACAAAGCATCCATGTTACCTGCAACGTATTTTGCATATCAGTAAAACTTCAACTTCTCATCTCCCCACAGGTGGTATTTTTTTAATTAACTGAATGTTACCTTTTTCTGTCTGCTGTTGTTCCTTCCTGCCTTGAGCATGGATGGAACCAGCAGCAGGCAAAGGGAGGTCGATAACGGACAGGACCTAGAAAGGGGAGGGTGGCTGCTTGTTTAAGTGACCACAGCACTTACAGGTCCATTGCAATGACGTGAAACAAAAGCAACATATTAGAGGCCATCTACTGGGCAGGAAGGAAGAATGCACACACACACACACCCAAAGAGCGAATGCCCACATACAGCCTGCCTCTTTATAAAGATACTTAGGTGTGTTCTGTTTGTATTATCAAAAACAAAACTAACTGTGATGATTGGCTCATGAAAGGTAGAAGTTCGACCTAGTTTTGAAGGGGTTTGTTTTTAAAGGATGAGAATGCTCTGGTGCTAAACTTGACAAAAAAGAAGAGACCACTGAAATGCTGATACATCTTAAAAGTGTTGAACAAGCAGAGATTACAAATTCTGCCATATAAAAATGAACCTATACATATGTTTCGGATTGCTAACTTGAGTTTCAGTTCATTCAGTTTGTAATCACTATTAATGACCTCTGTTTGTAATAAAGGTTCTGTCAGCTGTTTCCCGTTAATTTGTTAATGATTGAAGTAATACAAGCTTGATGGATTGAAATATAGCTGGAGAATGGCACACCATCATTTATGTAAACTCGCTGAAATCCTAGTTTGAAAGTTAGAATTTGTGCTGTTCCAGCTTGGAGAGTCCTATTTTCTGTGCATTTCACAAGGTGTCTTTCACAGTTGTCCCCGTGTCCCAGGGAAATGTGCACGCTGTTACCAAAGTGAAAGGGCAGAGTGCAGAGCTGAAAGGGTGACAGTTTGCACAGAGCAGGCTCCCGGAGCCGACAGACAGGTGGAGCCTCAAAGGCTCCACTTTAAAGTCCCGGTCTTACTGGATCCAGATGGAGAACTACTGAAAACTACTTACCATCCTAAGGTATGCCTTCGAAACAGTGTTATGGCATTCGTATATGTCTTATAAAAAGTAGCCTCTTCTGCTCACTTTGCCTTGTCTAATTATTCACTTCTTTCTCCATCGGCGCCTTTCACCTCTCTTTCCTGATGCATTTCCCCACCTCTCTCTCAGACACACACCCAGTATGTCTAACTGTTTCCTCATACTTCAGCTTGAACATACCCATAGAATGATTTATGTTTTACCTAATTGTTTCCAATCTCCTCAGAAAATTTTGCTGGCATTTCAGGGCCTTCTTACCTCAAACATACAAGTTCATGTGTATTCAGGTCATGTTTCTTTACAGATTAACCCATTTGACTTTTAAGACATAAGATTATCCTTACTAGCCATTTGGAACTCAAATGTATTGATATAAAAAGCTCTTCAATTTACAACTGGATCAAAGAAAATCTTTTATGTCCCCTGAAGGGTGTTTTCCAACCATGTTTCCCTTCAATACTGAAAGGTAATGTGCCTGTGAATGGAGACTTCTCTTGTTGCTGATACTGATACACTTGCTTGGGATTTAACTGTACATATAATGAGAGCAAGTTTGAATGAGAAACGTGTTTCTGGCTGTACAAACAATTTCTGGCATGTGTAAGAGGCACTATTCCATGTTGTAGGGCACCTTTGCAGTTCACTGGCAGGTGTACCTGAACGTAGATGCCCTTCAGAATATGGGAGATTTGACCTCATAGGAAGTCAGAGTTTAAAAGTTACATGATAAATTTCATTCATTCTGTGCATTAAGTCTGCCAAATAGAGATTAACCCTTTGACATAATGCCCACTATTAAAAATATAAAACACAGGGAAAATTGATAATAGTATGTAGGTAGACCTACAGCTATTTCTTTAATACGTATTTGTTATGCATGTACATACACTATTATGGATTATATATAATTATCACATTAACAACATGGTTCTTACATTCTAGGAGCTTATAGTGTTAGGGTGAGTTAAAACAGTCACAAAGTCAAGCAGTTAGCTATACAGAATAGGTATAGCCTGTATACAAGAATTATTAACATGGAGTCATTCATTTATTCAAAGATTTACTGAAATTTTCTGAAAACACAGATAAAATAGAGGCTAGAGCAGGGGGAAGTGTCTTCAAGCAACAGGATTAGAGATGGATCTGGAAGGATCTATAAAACTGAGGAGAGGAAGAGAATTGAACTTTAATTGAAAATGAACTGAAAGCTAGTTTTAGCATGAGAAGTACATGTAATATTACTGTGCACAAAGCACATCTCATTTTTGCTCCTGTATACTTAAACTAGTTGACACAGTTAACTAGATAATGCAATTCTTTGACTGCTGACCTGGAAGACTGGGACTGTAGGCAATTAGGAGCCCTCTGAGGACTCTGAATGAAGGAATGGTATGCAAACAGCAGTATTATAGGGAAATGGCTCTTGGGAATCTCAGGGTTAATCAGAAGGAAAATCAAGAGGCAATGGCAGTGGAACAGTCCAGCTATTCTATTTCAGGCCAGTGATGAGAACTAATATGTTGCCATTAGAACAGAAACTTCAGAAGGAAACTTTTGTTGTAAACCTACATACTGAATAATGTGGTTATTTGTACACACACTGGTTTTTTAATGCAATTTTTCTTACATCACAAAAGTTTTCCATTGACTTTTAAAATTGTTTTTTGTGTAGACTTTTAGTCATTGTGATTTAGTTTTAAGGCTTATATTTGCTTCGCAAGAATCTTCAGCAAAAATGATGCCTGACGTTTCTATATCTTCATGGTTCTGAGGCAAAGCATCCTTTTCATAATCCATTTTATTTCTGTGTATATAGCTAAATGATTTCAAAACGATTTGTAAAGTCACAGAAACCATAAAGCTTTAGTCCTTCTAGCCATGAGCTGATCTTTCCACCTATGGAGTTGCACGATTTAGTGTCAATGGATGGCCATATAAGGAACTACATGACTGATTACAACATTGTAGATAAGCGTAATAGACTTTGTTCTGTATGAACAGCCAGCAAGGACACAGAGAAGCCTAATCTTGGTAGGTTTCCTTCACTCCAAAGCAGACTGAAGTGTGAATCAGCCTGGAAAAAGACACAGAGGTAAGGCCCAAGTGAATGTCTTTTTCTGAAAAAATTGGGCATTTTTTTCTTTAAAATGTGCCATAAATGAATTGTATACTATAGCTTTACTCTTTGGTAGCTACATTTTAATGCCCCAGTTTCTGAGCAATCAAATGTTCATGTTTGAAGGGAAGATAACTTTCCTCAATTTTAAGTTGAAAATTAAAATCTCTGTTTTTGTTTTTAGGTGTTATTTTGAAGAAGTCAACTCATTTTTCCTTTCTCCAGGCATTATGAAAAACCTCTGTTACAGAGTTGTAGCCATGGTTATAAGTCTTTCTTTTACCGGGACAATGACAAATGCATCAAGGAAAAGCAGTATTTCATTGAGCTCTGAATGCCAGTGGGATGGATATCTTTTGACACATTGTTCTTTTACTGGAAAACTTGATCTACCTGAGGATACATCACAGACAGCAACCACAGTGGACTTAAGTTCCAATTTCTTTAAGGTTGTCTTAGAACCTCACATGAGAGGCAAATGGAATATGAAACATCTGGACCTCAGTTACAATTGCATATTGAAAATAACCTTCAGCTCTCTTACACATTTCCATGGTCTGGAATCATTAAACCTCAGCAAGAATGCCATTTACACCATCTTATCAGACCTACCCAGTCCCAAGTCCTCACGGAGGAAATACCACAGACGCAGCTTGAGAAATGGACTTCCATTTCTAAAGTTACTAACCCTTAAAAGAAATAAACTCAGTGACATTCCCAAGGGTAAGTACTATTCTAAAAGCTGGACTAGACCAAGATACAATGAGCATGTGAAGAGTTAATGTTTTATGTCAATAAGAATTCCATGTTTGTTTTCAGTTTCAAGGAAACAAATGAAAGTAAAGCAATTTGATAAAAGCAAATATAATAAAAGGCATACCATAGAGGAATTTGAAGTAGCAATGTGTGGAACTTAATCAATGCAATTTAATCTTTCATTACTATAACATTTATCTTAAGAAGATTTGTTGAGACACTAGGAAGTATTTAAGTGTTATATAATAAAGACTGATTTTAAATTACCTATTTTGATTATATTTTCTAAATAAAGAAATGCACTGAGAAATTACTAGTTCCCAAAAGATTAATACACAACATAAACATGTCATTTACCATTTTTGTTATAGAATACAACTTGGATCTATTTATCTAGTGTCCTCCAAATGTAGATTAGAAATATGCTAACATTATTGTATATTAATCTGTAGACTTTGTTATTATCAAATCAAAATCAGAATTCCTTATCCTGGTTTCTAACAGGATGCTCCATTTATCTTCCTATTATAATAAATTCTCATTAATAAGAAGTCAGTAATCCACATGTTACAGTTCTTTGACTTAACTACCAGTGTTTTATTTAAAAAATGTATCAAGTTATAAATCTCTAACCTTTTCATATTCAGGAATGCTAGACAATTTTTCCTTTCCTTGTGTGTTTTTAGTCTTGGTCCCTGTTTGCTGAGCACTTTATATGAGACACTAAGCTAAAAAAAAGAAAGTATACCAATGTTGCCATTTACTCTATCTCCTATTCTGCATATTTAGTTTTTATTATCTTTCAGTTCTTTAATTTCCTATACATTTGCTATTTCTACAGTTTCTGGTTTTGTTTTGATAATAATAAATTATCAGGTGAAAAAAATGGCTATTCCACTCACCAAATCTGCAGAATTAGAGGGTGGAAGTCTCTCCGTGACCTTTTCCTTAAAAGTAATGTACATTGTTCTAAGCATAAGCTGATTGCATTCTATTCTAGAATTATTATAATGTTGTTCTTATTAAAAGGAGTATTTGCTTTTAGAAAGCAAACATTAGAAATGAATGGAGTGGGAAGGAAAAAATTAACAGTCCCTCATGTTTTCAAGTTTATTCTTATGTAATTAGACATAATATATAGTATGCTATTTGAAAAGTTTTTTTACATGTATTAGAAGTTTTTAAATCACTCATTAAACATTATTTAGGTTATTTCCATTTTATTTGCTTTAATTCTCTGATGAGCACCATTATAGCTACACACATCCACATGTTTTTAACTAGTATGGTAGATGTGACTCTCAGCCCACAAATTCAGTTATACTAGATATAACCTCCTATTATTTATCTCAACATTATTTCTGATTCCAAGCCCCCATTCTAGTAAGGTAAACAGAAAGTCAGGTGTAGAGGTACTTGTACTTAGCATCATTCTTTCATGGACTTTTTCTTTTCCTAGATTCTCCTGGGAAGGGGTGTGTGGGTGTGTGGGTATCTGTCCCTTAATCCAGCTACCCAGAGAATTCCTTTTCAGTCTTTCTTTCAGGTTTGGAGAAACTTCTTTTTCCTTTTTGTTTCTTCAAAACCTTCTGTTTAGGTCTTAAAATCCCGTTCTCTAAAGAATCAGACCTTTGGAGAACCAGTCAGAAAGACTGGTCTGCTGTGCTCTCTGTCCACACTGTGTGCCTCCCCAGGGACAATGCTTACTTTCTGCTTGAATGGGGAGAAAGGGAAAAAGGAAAATAGAGGTGAAAGGTCATTAAGTCAAAAATGTTACCCCATCACAAGAGTAAATAAAGAAAGCTTGAACACTATCTTCTTAAGGCTGATGAATTCCCTAAAGTTAATTGGGAATTAGGGTGAGTTCCATTTTCAGGACCAAATATTCCAATAAAATGCAGCTACAGACCCATCTCCCCTTTCAGCCTCCCAGACTATCAGGGCACTGTTAACTTATATAAAAGAGGAGAAATGCCTGTAGGGAAATTGCATTAGAATCCTAGCACATGAAACCATAGATGAGTGAAATAGATGATGAAGACCAACATAAGCCCTGAATCTACCTGGATATAATTTGGAGTGCTTTTCTCAATACATTTTTCAATTTCAATTATTTTTCCATAATCATCATAAATTTTCAATTTTTGCTAGGTTGGGTTCCCTTTCATGTTCCTCCCTATCCTGTGATTTCTGGTATTATGACTGGATAACTCTGACTCTAAAAATACCATTTTGAAGTAAAAAGCTGTTAAGAGAGGTACAGGCTAGAGTGCCATTCTTTCTCTGACCATTTCCTTTTTCCTTTTTTATTCCTTTATTCTCGCCCTCTTTAAAAGTAATATCTGGATAATGTAACATTTGCTCATAGCATTGCCATGAAAATTAATGGAAAAAAAATGTGTCTCAAGAACCTAATGTGGTACAATATTTGGTATAATAAATTATAGTTATTAAAACATGTGAAAAAATACTTTATAAACTTGTATTTTGCAAAAATTCATTTTTATTACTCCTCTTGACACAAATTGAGAATAACAGTTTATTTAAAAACAATAAATTTGAATTTTTTCCTAAATCTCAAGTTACCATTTATAATGTCAAATAACAGTTGCAGCAGATGATACTCCTTGTCCGCTATAATTCATAAGCAGAGTCATTTGTGTCTAACCATTCATATAGGTGTTTGTTCTCATCTAAAATGATAATAGCTCTCAGAAAACAGTGATCGAGCATCTAGCCTTATAGCCATTTGTACTTTATAAATTATGCCCCACACGTCTTAAAATGGTGACAGTTTATAGAACCAAAGAAACGTTTTTCATTCAGGACACTAATCCAGTGTTGAAAGCTCACAGACAGAGTCAGGTGTGGTGTGGCCATGGAGCTGTCTGGGGAGACACCAGAGGAGGTGCCAGCCAGTGCCAATTACAGAGCAGAAGCCGGCCATGCAATTAACTTTAATGGTCATCCCAGCTTCTCCTATAATTTTCGATACATCATTAATAATGGAAAAATCATTTTAAGAAGTTTCAAACCATGCAGTAGGTCTCCAGTTAACCTATCCTGTCTCCCTCAAACACTATTTTCAGATTACCCATGTAGTACCTGGAAATACAGCAGAACCAGAGTGTCTGGGATTGCCAGACGGGATGTGGCAGCCTCACGTGAGCATGCTAGATTCCAGAATCAGAGAGAGATGTATGAGAAAAGAGATGAAATTGTACCCGATTTTTTAAAAACTGGTGAGGTAAAAAACAACTCTTATAGAGACAAAAGTATGTAGTATTCTTTCCATTGGTAAGGAATTAAACTTCTTGATTGCTACTGGATTCTGAAATACCAATAACCCATGTTCTCAAAACCTATTCAGATTCTCAAGTACAAAATTAATGTTTCTCATCAAGCTAAGAGGGCGCCTAAAATGTGGCCCACCTGTCTAAGTGTGACCACATATAAATCACGTATCTTATCCATGATCATTCCAGATTCTATTCCAGTTCTTAGTACTCTTTGAACTTAAAGCCCCTGAATATCACTGCTTTATGGTGTCAGGATATCTTAGTTGGGAGAACAGTTAAGAGGTTCACAGTCCAGAGGAGTGCTTCTAAGGGTGTAGAATGGCCAGGCGTACCTGGGGATAACCTCCATGGTCTTCTAATAAAAAGAAACTGAGTTAATTTCTTGGAATAACTACACCACCTCTGCTCACTTAAATGTAAAGACTAGTGAAACTCTAGCCTTACATGGCTTAGGTCATCTTCAGAAACCAGTGCAATAAATAATTCCATCTCCACAGACATGTCTCATCTTTTCCCCCCAACTTTCAGTTATTCCCTTAAAAACTGAAATCGACTCTGGAGTTTGCAAACCACAGTCATTAATGCATCCTCTAGCCTACTTACTACCTTTAGATATTTTGCTCTAAACCATTTAAATTTTAAAATATAAATATGTTTACTAGTCCACAGATACCATTTCTAGAGCTATTTTTTGTTCTTTGGTATAGCCTGTCTCCCATCTGATTTCATATTTCATCTAGTTGAATGACGTCTTTCAGCATCTAGTGTGAGTCTGCTTGCTTTGAGTTCATTCAGATCTAGTATATCTGAGGTCTTCATTTAAAAAAATATCTTTTCACTCAGTAAAGAATCCCAAGTTGACTATTTTTGGGTATTGTTTTAAATATTGCCCTACTGTTTTCAATTGACATTGTTTCTTCTATCTGTCATTCTTTGTTCACTCTGTGATGTTCTCAACCTCCGTGAGATATAAATTTTTGTCATCAAATGAATTTTTTCTTTATAATTTATTCCTTTGCCTTTATTTTCAAAAATAACTCCCCACAAGTACAGTTCCACCATGTACTCATTTATTTGTCTTTACACCCCGTGGGAAGCAGTATTCCAAAGAAAAGTTTTCAGGCAGATTATACTTTTCATCAAGTTGAAATTTATTTTGTTGTGTGCGGATCAGATCGCCATCTGCAGGCGATCTCTGGAATTCACCAAGGTCAGATTGTTCTCAGAGCATGCCAGACCCACCCTCCAGGGCCAACTATATCATGTCCTAGGTTTGCTGCAGACCAGACTTGGTAAACTATATTTAATAGTAGCCTGTCCACAGCTCTACCTTCATCTTCATGCTATCATCAAGCCATTCACAGGATAGAATATCAGCACTCAGAAAAACTTATGACAGTGTAATTCACACTGGACAAATCTCCTGATGCTGACAGCTAATGTGCCAGATCCTCAAGGAATGTCAACTATTTTCTTAAGCTCTGTATATTGGGTCCAAGTCAGCTCACACATCCTTCATTATTTTTAAACCAGCAGGCTGGTCAAAGTATGCCCTTTTTATGACTCTGTTCTTGGCAGATGTCAAGAAAGCAAAATCCACCACATTTGCACAATTCAAGTGTTTGCTTGCTTAATCTTTGCTAACATCTCATTGACTAAAGCAAGTCACATGACTAAACACAGCGGGGTGGGAAAGTATACTCTGCCCAGAGAAGAATGGATCTTTGCTGAGCAATTAGCTATCACATTGGTGTACACAGAGCTCAAAGTACTTGAAACTCATAGTAATCAAAGATGAGTCTCAGTTACAAGTGAGAAAGATGATTGTTAATGGGGAAGTTGGGGGATGAAGATCTTAACTGAAAATCTACGATATATATCAAAAGTCAAAAACAGAGCAGGAATAAAATGCAATCTGTTAAGCTCCTCTCCAGGACCCTACTAACTACATAATACAAGTGGAATCACTAAACCACCGCCCATATGTTTGGCAATTTCATGCATCATGGCCTACACCATTCTGTTGCCAAGAAAGCCTTAACTCACCCCCCGGCCCCCACCACACACATACCTCAACCATCCCTACAACACACCCAGACTTATTTTTCCCTTTTCTAAATTCAAATTATCTTCCATGGCCTTGCTCAATGACTTTTTTAAAATATATAATGCTCGAAAGATCTGAATTCTAGGCCCATCTACACACACACACACACACAAACACACACCGCATCTTGTGACATGGGCAAGTTGTGAGTTTTGCTGCACTGAGATTTTGTCATTTTCAAAATAGTAACACCCTCCAGGGCTTGGTGAGCTTTAAAATGAGATGTTTACAGAATGCCTAAAGCACAAAAATAGTGCACAATTAAATAGTTTTAAATAACTTCTTCCCTCCCTGCTAAAGCTAGACTTAACCTCCCTCTCCCTGAACTAGAGTGCACCTTCACTGCAGCTGAGAGCCAAGATAACGCAGGAACCGTGAGTTCACACAGCTGAGTTTACATAGCTGTGAGTTCACATAGTTAAGGAAACTGTTAAGCTCCTCTCTTACTAGTGTCTTTTTTTTCTTATTTATTTATTTATATAGAACTGGGGTACAGGTCAGGGATGGTGAGAGGATTGTGCTGAGGGGAGCATCAGGGGAGACCTACTGCACCATGTGGGTCAGCTCCTTGGCCAGGGATCAACCTGTTGCTGAAGTTGAGCTGCAGCTAGCTTAGTAGTGCTCTGCTTTAACGAGCTGCAGCAACAGGGAGGGCCCCTCATGTTATGTTTTTTTCTTCACAGTCTGTACTGTTTCCATATTAAAATATGGAGGGGCATTCATTTCACAAAGAAATATGTTTTTCTAAAAAAAAAACGAGCAGGAAAACTGTAAATCAAAATGGAGACATTCAGCAGGGGTGGGGAAGGGAGAGGGATCAGGACAGGGGAGGGAAGAGCACAGGGACTGTGGTGATGGGTCACCAGTGTTTGGTGGTGGGAATTCTACAGAGACTACACCTGAGAGGAGAAATCAAACACTGCACAAAACTGAACTACGATGTAAAAAATAAATGTATAGGTAAATAAATTTAACAAATAAACAGTGGTGGGAGGGTATGTTTTTCTACGGAGTTTGTATTCAAGACATTTCACAAGTGGTCTTCAACTTGGGCTCTCCAGCTGGATGTCTCCCCGCTCTAATGATGGGACAGAATTGTTGGGGCAGTGAGATGGGGCCCTGGGGGTGACTAGTGTGGCCAGGCAGCACACTAGACTCACAACAGCCATTTGCAAACCAGTATGGAAGTATATTTTACTAGTATATCTAACTGGGTATCAGTTTGCTTCTCTCCCGTGCATGCCCTGTATAGACCTGGCAATCCTCATTCAACTACAGTTAAACACTGTCTTATCCCAGATGGAACTTTCAATTTTTCAACAGAAGCTGGAAATGCAAATTTTTGTATTGACTATTTAACTTGACTCAACAATTTTTATTTGGTCTCTGTACATGCCACACACTGTGACCTCTGCCTATTAAATGCATAATATATTCGAGGCACAGCAGGAATTCACAAGGACATAAACTCTGCCCCAAAGGAACTGACTATCTGATAGAGAGGGTGACAAACTGTTGTTAATTTTATAATCCGAATGGTAGGAATGTAAGTGCTTTGAATAACTGGTAACTCTCATTCTTGTGTGTGTTCGTATTGTTCAACCAGGCACAAGGACTGTACGCTATACTTGTCTTCAGCACCAGCTGACTTGCTCATAGTGTTTTGATTGCGTTATCCTGACAACCTGACCTCTTGCTTAGTCTATCCAGCTGAAATGAACATATGATAACACCGGTACAGAGCCCATTCCTATAAGTCACCCTCTCTGCATAATGAATATTAAAATAAGTACCTTGCAGACAGTAGGCAAGGAATAAGACCCTTCGGGAATTGAACCAACTTGACCTGTTATGCAGGTTAAATGCTGGTTAAATGCACAGAATACATATAAGAAAAGAATAGGAGGACAAGTAAATGGCAGGCAACTCCTGGGAGGCTCATATGGGAAATCAAATTTGGAAGATTGCCATAACTGGTACCTTGTTCTCAAGCTTCATTTTCAATGCTCCATGGGCCTCTGGTTACTCCCTGGACTCAAGTAAAACACAAAGACAGAGACCAAAATTTGATTAAAATCTAGCTATAACTTACTAGTTTTGAAAGATACACAATGACCTAGAAAACAGTTATAATGTCAACAATGAGTAGTTAAAAGGAAGGATGTAACTATAAAACACAATAGGTACATCTTAAAACTCCAAGTATTCATCCATACAATCTTTAAATAGACTATGTCCAGTTTTACCACCAAATGAATATTTATCAACTCCTTCAAAGTTATATTTTAATTGGTATTTTTGTTGCATTCAAAGAAAGAATTCAAAAGTATATAAAAATCAAAACAAAGTTTTTTTCTTGATCCCAGCCTACCTCCTTCAAGTGTAAGGAGGAAAATGGTTTAGTTTATCCCCCACAGTTTTTTTTTCTCACTTAAAATATGTTTGTGTGAGATTCTTTTATTCCAGTAATTTTGTATTTATACTCTGTAGTGTTCTGCAACTGAACATTTTTCTTCCTATTCAGTCAGCTCATGTTCTTCTATCCCTTCTCTTCTAGGACTACATGTATTTTGTGGTGTTGATATATCATAATTTGTTTAACCACTTCCCTATTGAGGACCACTTGGGTTGTGTCTAGTTTTTCATTACGGTAAAAAAAAAGAGTGCTGCAATAAATATCTCCAGTTTATATTTTAACTTACTCTTTAATATTAACAGGATCACGGAAACTTAAGCCTTTGGATCTGACATTCAATGGGATGTCCCAGATTGGTTTGTCTGACTTTCCTGACTGCCTGCACCTGGAGAGCCTCCATTTAAAGAGTAACAACCAATTCGGAAGTCACCCAGAAGACTTCAAGAGCCTCAAACAACTTCAGGTTCTACAATAACTTTATGCAGACATAGGGGCAGTTACATTAGTGGAATATTTCCACCGAGACTTTCAGATCTGATAGTACTGGCTACTGGTCTAAAAAAAAAAAAAAAAGTCTGTTAGCAGCCTCCTAAGAGATCTGAAATCTCTTGCCTCAAAATCAAAGGTCTCAGTAACAGAACTGAACTGAACGCTAATATTCAGCAGCAAGAGATGGCACCTTTTTTTTCTAAACAAAATTAAACCAACTCAAACTTTTCACTGGCCAGTTGAAAAGAAATTACTATGTGTCTCTCAAGAGGCTGCAGTCAGCTGCTCACCACAGCTGGGGTCTCACCTGAAGGCCAGCTGAAGCAGGAGTCTCTTCCAGGCTCCTGGGTTGTTGGCAAGATTTCTTAATGGAACGAGGGCTTGGTTCCTCGCTGACTGCTAACCAAGCCCTGCCCTCAGGCCTGGGCCATGTGTGCCTCTTACAGATCTCTTCAAAGCTAGAAGAGAGTACATTGGGAGAGTGTCAACATCTTCTGTAATGTAGCTACGCAAGTGATTCTTTCCCCCACACTTGTTGCTTAGATTCTTTGTCCATACCCATTGCTTGTATCTAAGTGAGGTCCTGACCACACTTTAGGGAAGGGGATTCCTCAAAGGTGTGAGTACGTGGCGGCAGGACCATTGGGGGCTGTCTCGGAGTCTGTCAGTCATGGTGGTTACAGTGCGGATGAGAAAGCCCACTTCCCCAGTTGCCACTGACAGGCTGGCTGGGAACCGCAGTTAGTACACTGTGTACTGATGCCAAGTGTTACATGGTGTATGCTGGTTGTTAAGTATATTTGTTTATGTAACTGCTTGATACCTGCTTTATTTTCTTTGCAGTTTTGTTTTGTAAGTCTTTACTACTTTATGAGTCTTCCACGGCTCACAGGTGATATATGCTACAGGCACACTAAAATCCTACCCTAAGAAAGTCTTAGCTACAATCCTCAATTCACCTAGACTGACCACAATTATACAATTTCTACTCTACTGTCTCCTCTACATGTTTGCCAGTAAACATGGTTTTGGAACTAATGAACACAGCTGGCTGAGTATTAAAAAAAGATGTTGTTGGGTCTTTTCAGATGTTATTTAACATTTGTACTATACGGTCCATCTTCCACGTGTCATTTTGTGTGCAGTGAATATCCATAAAGAAACATGCTACTACTTGAGATAATACTTGATGCAAAAGGTCTCTCTTCCCTATTTCTGGTCATCCGTAATTGCCTTCTGTGCCATACTTCCACATCCTCCAGTATCTTATGCCACTTTCAAGGTCATGGTGGCTGTAGAAATTCTAACTAGATATCTAATTCTGGACTATGATAATAGCAAGAAGTCTAGGTTTTATCTACCTGTACAAATTACAACTCAGAGAAAAGGAGAAAAGGGAAATGAGCATTTAAAAGGGCATCATAGGGCCCCCCCGGTGGCACAATGGGTTAGGACACAGCACTGCCAGCTGGCCGCAGCTGCTTCAGTGCGAGTTCGATCCCCGGCCCCAGAGATGAGCCATATGGCACGGCAGACCTCTCCTGACCCACCCGCTGCTCCCCTCAGCAGTGTACTTCATCCATCTGCCTGTTCTGCTCCCCACTCTGTCTCTGGTGGATTCTCTGACCAACCCTGTACCTCTAGACTGTACCCCAGTTCTGGATGCACCAATAAATAAATAAATAAATAAAAGGGCACCATAGTTAAGCTCCTCTTATACTGAATCCTTCAGCACGCTGGCGGGTAGACTCACAGAGAGGAAACACTTTGCTCACAGAGGAGTTAGGGAGAGAACAAAGGCTTAAGCCCAATATTCCCTGGGTTTCAAATCAGTGCTCAGATCCAGCTGCTCCCACAGAGATGTGAGCAGTGTCTGTGGCTTGTTTATTTTGCCTTGGAAATGTCCTTACTCACAGACATCCTGCATTTGGTTCTTCTCAAGCAGGTCCTGGGCCTCAGTGGCGCACTGACCACTGTCCTTACCTTGGTGACCGCGGCACAAGCACCGCTCCACCTGCAGGCCAACCCGGCCGGGACCCAGGGGCCGAGGGACTGCCATGCCGCTGTCTTCCAAAAGTTCACTTCTGAATCCTGGAGGCTGACGTGGGATATAATTTGCAACAAACCTCTAAGTAAGTCAGCAACATCTATTTTGTCTAGAACGGTTTCTGTTAAGCTAGAAAGAAAACTGCAGGGAAAACTTAGTCTCATCTGAAAGGATGTTTCATGTGAAACATAAGCTGTCGACTAGCCTTGGGCTATATCTAGAACAGTGCTCAGCACCTACCTGTTTTCCTCCGTTTGTGAACGATCTTCATGTGGTCAAAGAAACCTACTCTAAATAGTTCAGAAGACACTGGGGTTGGCCAACACCAGAAATGTCACAAGGAGAGGATTTTGCTTTAGCCCTCCAAAATGTCATGTTTTAAATCCCAACCCTTAACAAATAATCAAGCAAAGAAAGGACCTTAAAACTTGAAACATCATTACTGTAAATGTTTGCTAAGTCTCTAAAAGCATAATCCTACCCATAACCAAAACACACATATATTTCAAAAGTCTATTTTTCTTTGGATCCCTGCCACTCCCCCAAGCACTAGAATATGTTACTAGAGCTGAACACTCTGGTATGCTTTTTTCACTATTAATTCTCCTGGCTGGATCACAAAACTGACTTGGGGGAGGGGTGAGAGTGCCCGATTTCTTTTTTAACAAGCCGGGGTCACTCTGGTCGTCAGGATGCCATTAGAGTAGAAAGATGGCGGTGGGTGCAGGGTTGAGAAGCGCTGCGTGAAGTGCCCAGGGCACAACCTGTGCCCACCCACACTTGCTTCATTCCTCTATGAGCCACGCGAGCATTCTGAATGTGGAAGGCAGAATGTCAGGAACCAGTGGAAAAACCTGAATGTTACTGCTGTTTGCCAGTACTGGGGAAAGGTGAGGAAAGAGGATGGCAAACATGGGGAGGGCTTAGGCAGACTTTGCCTGGGGTAGATGGAATGTTCTGGCGGGCTGTGGAAGGAGATGTATGTGGTTGTCCCTCCATCTGTCTTCTTTCCTCCCACAAGCAGCGGTAAGGCTAGAAAAATTAATCACTCTTTCCTGGGCCTCTCCACTGCAGACCTAAAGCTGCAGCAGAATCCTGCACGTATTGTTGGTATCAGACAGTCAGTTAAGGCCTGTGCCCTACTTCATATGCGCAGTGTAACACCATCAGAGGAATGAGGACTCACAGACGCTTTTAAAACCCCCAGAATCTTATTTCAATGTCCAATCAATGAATGTTTTCATCTCTCATATCCAGGGAGTCAGGAGACATACTGGTGGACGCCAAAAAGGAGAATTTCCAGAGAGACCCACCTTCCTCGAGCACATCAAAATCATGAGGACAACCCCTCCAAGAGCGAAGCTGAGCAGCCCAGGGAGGAAGTGCGTGCGGGCTTTCCCACCGTGGGAGAGGAGGACCATGCCAGCCCTGGTGCCCGAGAGAAGCAGAGCGGGCTGCCCAGACGAGTTAGGAGCGCCGGGGATGTGCCACCTTCTGGCAGAAAGGAAGCCGCCCAGTCCCAGGACCTCACCCTGGCTGTCTGCCTGGCAGTGTTCATCACCTTCTTTGTGGCTTTCTGCCTGGGGGCTTTTACAAGGCCTTTCATTGACAGACTGTGGCAACGGATACGCCAGGACAAAAGGCCCCATCCTGTTAACGCCTACTCAAATGAGGGCTTCTGTGATGAAGTTGAAGCTGCTGGGAACATACAGCAGCACCCAATGGTAGATGTGCGCCAAGGTCTCCCAGACCTAAACCTCCTTGAGAGCCAAAACCCTTTCCCGAGGAGAGAGGCCAGCCCTGGCACAGCTGGCCTTGCCGCAGATACAGCCCTGGGAACAAGGGGAAAGGAGTCTGGCAGCTGGCAGAGCAGGGCAGGGTATGGGGCCAAAGCTGGGGCATGGAGGCCAAGTCCTGGCCAGTTTCCAGACGACAGCACAGCCCCTGCTGGCCTGGGCACACACGCTAACACTGGAAGTAATGCACTGATTTCAGCCACACCAGACTGCATCTATAGGAAACATGTTCTTGAAGAAGTACAGTCTGACACTGTGTCCCGGGAAGATTTTCTCAGTGTGCAATCACTGAGCGTCCCTGAGAGTTTACAGACTGTCTGCGGCTCAGTCCATAACACCTTGAATGAATTAGAGCCAACACATTCAAGAGACAAAACAGATTCTCTTTCTCCAACGCTAGTACAAACTGAAGCACAGAACACTGGGAAGGCCCAGACAAGCTGTGGCACCAAAAACCTATCTTTGAACCTTTCTAAGGAAAAGCAAGTGAGCACGAACATTAATTTGCTGCATGAAAAGCAGCAAAGGCCCAAAGACGGTGCTGAGGTCCCCTGCAGTATGGTCATTCTCCATGGCCAAGGAGATACAGACCCACTCCCACTGGGCTGTCCTCCAGGATGGAAGAGTGAAACACAGGTCACTCCTGCTAATAGGGAACCAGGACAGAAACATGCAACTTCTGATACACAATATGAATTGGACACCAACTATGATTCTGATGAAGGATCTTTATTTACTCTAAGTTCAGAAAACTCAGAGGATGCAAGAAATTGGACTGAAGAAGAGGCATTTGATGAGGATGGCTGTAGAGCCAGGGGGCCACCAGAGAACAAAGACTTGGGGATGAGGAAGAGCAGTGTTAGGTCCTTAGAGAATAGTGAGGGTATCACATCCCAGAAGGTTCTGGGGGCAGGGGAGACTCAGGAAGATCATTTTGAAAAACCTCTCACACACTCTGGCATGATTAAGACTCAGGTGGAAAGTAACTCTAACACCAACAAATTTGAGGATCCACTGATTGTGCCTAGATCACAGAGCAATAGTCCTTTCAGTGATGAAAGCCCAGGCATGTCCACTCCTCATCCTCAGCCAGTAGAGTGGCAATATGATCTTAGAGACTTGAC